AAAAAGAGATATTAACTGGGCGGAGACAGTGGCTATAAGACTGGGATTGGAGATTGCAGCGAGAACGGTAGAGGTGAAAGGCAGGAGACTGCTGTTCCTGACAGACAATACTACGGCAGAGGCGGTAGTGCGTAACCTGAAGTCGAAACATGTCGCGGTGAATAACGAGTGGCGGAAAATCCAACGCCGACTAGCGGAGTTGGACTGTGACCTTGAAGAGAAAAGAGTAACGTCTCGAGAAAACGAAGCCGACGCACTATCTAGAGGAACCGACTTCACAAAAGTAGAATCAAATAGAATCAGATTTAAGTTACCAGAAGATTTAGAAGAATACCTTTTAGAAACTCAAGAAGTAAAAGTAATAAAGAAGTGATGGAGAAGACGAAGAAACTTAATTTTAGAATGATAGAAGATGGAATCGAAGACCAAACGAAACTGCAAGTAGCTCGCCATATGGTTGAGGGTACGTGGGCAGATACTACACTGCAAAGCTACGGAAGCGGAGTGACTAAGTACAGAGAATACATTGAAAGTAAAGGTAGAAAGTGGGAGAGTGCAGTACCTTTAGTAGCGGAAGATGTTTACGGTTTTCTAGTATGGGCAAGTGCTTCAAATTCAAAGAAAGAGACGTCAGCAAAAAGAGTGGTGAAAGCGAAGACGTTAGAAAAGTACCTAGCTGGTTTGCAGGCATGGCAGATGGCAGCAGAACTGAAACCACCGGACTTAGATCAGAAAATGATTAAAGGAATCTTGAAAGCATCTGAACGAGCGGAAGAGAAGATGATCCTAGAAGACGATGAAATCGGAGCGTTCAGAATTGAGAAATTACCGGTGACCGTAAAGCAAATCGCACATATCGTATTCAATTTCGCCGGGAAAGATGAACTGGACGAATTGATCTCTACTGCATGTTTGGTAGCATTCTGGGGGATGATGAGACTTGGTGAATTGACCAGGCAGACCCGAGAGGAGGGAATGCTGATTGTGGACAACCTGAAGTTTGAAGGCCAAGGAGCGAAGAAAGTCGCAGTCCTGACTCTATGGAGGGCAAAAACAGCTAAGCCAGGGAAAACACAACAAATCAGGTAAGCCTTCTTGATAAGATTAGAGGAGCGGAAGAGGACAGTTTGGACACTCACACTGACAAGCTCGGTGTCCCAGGATCGAAACCCAAAACTCGGTGTTAGACCCGGTAGCAGCGTTAGAACGTATGCTGGAGAAGATTCCGGGAAAGCGAGGCTCAGATGCATTGTTTGGGTTAGGAGGTGGAAAACTTCGACAACCGATGATGAAGAAACTTTTTATGGATAAGGTCGAGCAAATCTGGGGGAAAAGTGGGGCTCAAGACGGCTCATGGTCCGGACATTCATTTAGAGTAGGTGGTGCATCGCTGAGATGGAACCTCGGGTGGAGTAAAGAGAAGATCATGAAGGCTGGGAGATGGGAATCCGGAGCAGTTGATACTTACTTGAAAGGATACACTCAATGGGAGTTAGAGGAGACGAAAACCCTGCTGAGGGCAATCAATAATAAGATTTAGAAGTGATCGCCATAGAAGTCCAAGGAAGCTCGGAGAAGATACAAAGAAGTATATACACTGTATTGATATATGTTTCAAACATCCTCGTGGAAGAAATAGAGTTCAAACTTAAAGCGGTCGATACAGATCGTACCACTAGATCACATGACTTGCACATGCCGCATCAGTTTCTCTTATGAAATAGATGAGGTAAGGAACGCAAGCGAGACCCCCTGAGAGCTATGGGGTAACTTGACAAGTCGAGACTCTCAGGTAGCCCCGACAGGTGGGAGGACGAGTGACCCAAAAGCTCTAGGGACTCAACGCTTAATGTAGGAGCCAGACAGGTGCGAGATGAGATCTTTTTCTCATCGACGCAAAACTGGAGGCCCGCCGGCGGCGCCCCCCCGTACCTTAGAGTAACACGAGAAGTAGTGTTGCCCTAAGGGGGTGGTTGGTGAGCTATGATGATGAAAAAACAAACATCAAACACAACTCCAGCAAGAATGGAGTGTGAGCACCAACCAAGGCACGACTTGGTGCGGAATTCCATGAGCTGAGAGATTGTGGACGGATGTAAGGATATGCTTGTAACGAGGGAGTGCGGGAGCAATTCCTTGTAGAATTGAGTTGAGAAGAATTGCAAAATTTTCCACAACTCAAGGTTCCCGCACAACAAGCACTCTTACACAGAACACATCTCAGCTTAATCTCATGTTTCGTGTTTTTAATTTCATTATTAAAATTTTCCACCCACCCACCCGGCAAAGTCGCGGGCGCCAGGTTGCGAGATGAGATCTTTTTCTCATCAACGCAAAACTGGAGGCCCGCCGGCGGCGCCCCCCCCGTACCTTAGAGTAACACAAGAAGTAGTGTTGCCCTAAGGGGGTGGTTGGTGAGTTATGATGATGAAAAAACAAACATCAAACACAACTCCAGCAAGAATGGACATATCTCAAATGGGTGTAAAGCAGTCTATTGATGTAGGGGTGTGCTACCCCTTATTTTGAGGATTCTCCGGCGCGCTCTTTGAAATGCCAAGTATGCCACACCCACCACCTGGATTGAGAGCGGCTCATTTGGGTGGGACAAATGGCTATGGGTTTTCATAGTTTTTGATGTGTAATGCATGATAGAAGTAATTCTTAAGAACAAGCAAACTTTTTGAGAGTGGCTGTAAAACTTGTGTCATTTATGTCACTTTTGTCAACAATTTGCCCAAGAATTAAATTGAGCCAAAATTCTGACATTTTCCAATACAAACCATTTAATAAAAACAATAAATTCAAACTATTTTAATGTCACAAAGATAAGTAAAATCCAAGGCCAAATACCAAGATTTTTGGAACAAACCACAAGAGGGGCTTTTGGATTGGATCACGGGAGTATGCAATTTGGTTTCATTCTTTGAAAAACTACACATAGCAGTTATCAAGTGGGAATTGGTATAACATATGTGAACTGATCAAGTCCAACTCTCCTTTCTGGTGTGAGCTGCAAAAGAGACCTTGGCAGAGCTGATGCCTACATTAAATTCTGCACTTGCTTCTCTCATCAATGTTAAGCCTGAGCGGAGGGTGGTTTTTGTGGGACATCAAGTCTTGATCAATGAGAATTCCACCTAAAGTCTCATTTGTTGATTTGGAGATGAAATGATTGTCTTAATAGATCTTAGAACAATTGGGTTATGTTGTATAAAAGAAGTACTGTGCTCTAATTATTAAAATGAGGCAAATCTGTGGCATAGACAATGGTGCTGAGATGTCTCTAACCTCTAGGAGACCAAGATCCTGTGGATAGAAGAAGTAATGCAGGTTTGAAAACAAGATAGCAATCAGAATAGATGTGCTGATAGCATCTGGCTGCTTTGTATTTCCTATGATCCTTGAGGTAGAAACAATGGATGAAGTATAGTGTGCACACAAGGAATAACTCATGACAGGAATATATGAATGTGGTAAAAAGATTCCTTTGGTGCCAACTGACTTCTCATTCTGTTGGACAGGGCATAAGCCACCTCAACAACATATGACCTTCCTTATAATAAACTCATTACATATCAATAAACTACATGTAGTCATAATAAAAACAAACACGTAACACTTAATTACATGCAAATAAATACATGTAATCAACGATTACATGCATAGTGCGCAAACTGTGTATTTGTATCTCATTTCATATTCAGTTATTATGTTCTGTTTGCTCTTTTTTTGATGTTTGTCTTTCTATGTGATATTTAAAAGGATACACGTCATTCAAACAAATGAATGACACACAGATCAATTTGGAAGATGATCCTATGTGCTTTGTGTTGTGGTATCAATATACCACATTTGTATCTTTTTGTTTCTATTTGTGTGAGCAGTGGTGGCTTGCTAAGCCAAGCTAAGGATTCTTGCCAGCTTGGCTTAGCTTAGCTAGAAGCCACTAAGGAAAAATTGGCTAACACTAATCTTAGCGGATTTCCGCTAATGCTAAGCCATTGGCTTAGCGGGCGTAAAATGACACCCGCTAAGCCAATGAATTGGCCGCTAAACCACTAATAGCGGCTTAGCGGCCCTCTTTTGCACTTAAAACATGTTTTTTTGATAGCTAAGCTCCCGCCTTAGCTTAGCGCAGACCCGCTAAAGGAAAAATTGCAGTTTGATTAGCTTAGCTTGTGTGCGCTAAGGATTCAGTGTTAGCTTAGCGATAAAAGATTGCTAAGCACTAACTTAGCTTAGCCGTGCCACCATTGGTGTGTGAGGAGATCTGTTTCAAACATCTTTTTATTACGTTCAAGAAGAGTCAAGGCCTTCAGGTCAATGAGCTGGGAGTTAATGTGTTAAGACAATTCATAGGTTACAGATGTGGAAATTGAATTGGAAATGAAGAGCAAGATGGGCACGGTTTGGGCAAACTTGGCTTGCAGCGTAGAGGAAAGCGCGCAGCGCAGCGCCAGACGTAGCCGCTCCGCTGCCTGGGGAACTTGGCCTCCGGGTGCTGCGTCTTCAGCTGACCTTTGGGGAGCGCCGGAGGATCCGGGGAATCTCGCTGAGAATTTGAGACATGAGACTCTGGGAATACCGTCCCTCTGTATTAACATACATACAAGCATAAATGATTACAGCATGCCTAAGTCAAAACCCACATATCTTTAGTCAGAAACCTTACATAATCCCAGCCGGTGAGATGTCACCGGCTCAGCAATTTTTTTCTGTTGCCTCCGTGTTTCATATTTTTTTTGCCGGCCCACCGTGCAAAGTTGCAATTTCACAATGTCATATTCTGCAACCCATCTTCACCGGAACAAAGTAACTTTACGGCAGCCACCCACTTAGGATGGTGTGCCCAACGCTCATCCACAAATACTACAAAAAGGCCAAACCTGACGTTGAAACACTACCATTGCCAAACCCAGACCGACAAGGACGAGGAGGACCCACCGACCTATTATGCCCTGTGTGCTCAACAGAGATGGTTTACCATCAGGCGCAATATGACTCTTGGCTCATCGGGGTAATCTTTCACTGCTACACTACACTCCAATCAAACAAACTGTGATGCTGATTATATGCACGTTCTGGATACAATCCAGTGCCCCACACCCCACAACCGTCACAATTGTAAGACATGGCGGTGTGACCAGCTCAACCACAAGCTGGCTCTCATCAACCTTGGCACCCCACGACCAATCAAATCTGTACCCACCAATTGGGGTCCATGAGTCTCACCCTATGGAATTTCCCTTGATAATGGTCCTCCCCCCCCAAAAGGACGGTTTAGTCCGTACTCCAAGAAACAAAAAACCCCAACCCAACAAATTGCCCTACTGTGCAAACGCATTCACAAAGGGAAAGTCTTGCAGAACCACAAGAAGGCGGCCAATAAGGAGTGCCCTAATCAATACTGCCTTGGTGTTGGTGATACGTCTTACTCTCACGTGTTTGCCTATTACTGACAATTTATTTGTTTGATTCCCCCAGTGTTTCACTGCGTATTCTTCGCCCGTGTGCGCAAAACACACTCGCTCCTCCAAGACAGCGACAATGCCACCCCAGAATAAGGAGATAAATACTCAGACACTCGTTCAATTAGGAATCACACCCCATCAATTAAATGAATTACGTCGCATGCAAGGTACGACATCTACATCTACCAATCCAACTCCAAATTACTCTGCCCCTTGTCGAACAGCTCCAGCGTCGGCCTCGAACCCACACCAGTGGGCTCAGTCCTCAAACACTTTGGGGCAGCGCCTACCCATTGAATCGGTGGTTATGCTCCAGCAAAACCGTGCCGAACGCGATGCAGCCTCCGCCAAACGCCAGACTCCGAACCTCATCAACACTGCCAAGATGGCCACCATCACGTTGTGGGTCAACGTGAGTATTGTTTCAATCAATTGCAAGCGCATCTCAGCCCCAACAAACACACCTGACATTTGTGTTACAGTCGGATTATGTGAAGCCCATTGCTGCCTTTTTTCATCAGTGGCCGTTAGTTTACCTTGAACAAAGCAAACTCCTTTCGCAGGCGGTTACTGCAGCGGTGGGTCCACTTTGGGACAGTGCTCTAAGCATCTGGGACTACTCATTAAATACCTGGGTATGTCTCAATTTCATGCAGGTCAGGAATTCTACACGCACCAACACCCCTTTGCTTTGTCACAGCTCAACACCATGGTTAATTACCCGCACCAAATCCCAGAAGGCCAACGATCCATTATTGTACGACTCCCCAATGTCGACGTCCCCCATTCTTCACTGCCGTCCTTGAAATTGAAAGTCTTGAGTCAAACACAAACCAACACCAGTAATCGGTCCATCCCGACATTGGAGTTTCTATCTGATATGGAGCTTCCCCCCATATGCAACTCCGCTTCCGGTCTGCCACCTCAAGCTCCAATGGTGACAAACAAAACCAATGTTTTGTTCCTTTCCGGCGAACCATGCCAAAAGACCATCCCAGCTTCGGGTCACCGGCCTTCTACACCTCCTAATCCTAACAGCCAGTGTTTTGACTTAACTCAGTCCTCCAATTCGTCTTTGGAGGATAATTGTGATGTACCTGGCCGCACAGATGCTGGTGCCATTGTTACCCAAGACCCAAATGACGTGTAGGTGTTTTTGGCCTTCAACTGATCTGCCAGGCTCACCGCTCACGCACAATTGATTGTTGTAGCATTGTAGCTTCTTCCAAGCTACAAAAGGGATGGCCAACCAAGGAAGTACTTCTCTCCAGCCTCTTTTCATGGTATCACGACGCGATCGGAGGTGAACCCAGGGAGACATGGCTGGACCACTTTGGACATTGATGGAAACTTACCAAAACCATGTATTGATATTGCGCGTGGGTCGAATTGGTTGGCCCAAACACCATGTACCTCAAATATGGAACTCAACCTGCAGCAACTGTTGCAGAGGCTCAAACTTTCTGGTCAGAAGAGTTCAAGAAGGTTGCTGGGCATTGCAAGGACCTAAATGATGAGCCAGGGCCCAAAAAAAATGAAACTGTCCCAAAGCTAAACAAAACACAGGTCCCTTTTGAAATGTAGTACCTTTAATAATATATGTATCTTCCACATTCGCATCTGTATGAGTTTTTTGTGTAACCCTTATTTTTGTGCAACATATCCTTTCTCTTTGTGACCCTGCCCACAACCTGTTTGAGATAATATTCCACCCAGGGTCTCAGGAATGCAAACACCCGTAGCCCCTGTGTTAGTGGACCCTTTTTTCAAATCACATTCTTGCCCAGAAAAGGCAGTGACAACAACCTATTGAGTCTCTTTTAAGGAGCCACTTATGTTCTCCCAAAGATCCCAACAGAAGAGCACACACCCCAGTCAATCTGAGTGAATCATGCCTAACACCGCCTTCATTTCTGCAATTGTACCAACCACCGCCGATGTAAGTTTTTCTTGTTTTGCAGTTACTTGGAATGAGTACCACTGAAACTACGTCCTCTCGTATCATTTCCCTCAGGCAAGGCCATCACTACCAATCCCCAAGTTCGTTGATTGGCACCTCACCCTAGCAGACCTTGTTTTGCAAGATGACTTAGGCGCGCCTGTCAACGAAAGTGTCCATGTGTATGGGTACACAATGAACAACCACAAGCTCGCTCGTGGTCGTATTTATCACCTATATGGGCCCTTTCAAGAGCCAGTTTCTGGCCAAGCGATGATACGACATGACCAAACTGCTCAAAGCGAGATAGGCACGCACAGTATCAATCGCCAGGAGATCGCCGGCAAAGCCAGCATTAGTTCTTATGGAAAGGTGATTGCCTTTGAATACAATAATGTCCATAATTCCAACGGGCAGTGGAATCTCACGGTTATAGCGGCACATGAGCTCGCAATCCCAGTGGTGAGTATGTTGTTGTTTCTTCAACATTCAATCATACCTGTTTCTTGTTGACCCTCATTATGACCCTATTTATTCCTTTTGTCTATCAGCCCCCACAGTGATTTGAATTTGAGATTATCTATTGGTTTGGGTACTACACTCCTGAGAGTGCTCAGTGGAAGTATATCAGACATGATTTGATGATGTCCTTCAGTGGACGATTGGTAGGCAAAGATCCGGAAACTGGTCGATTCATAGTGAATGTAAGCACCATCATTGTTGCAGAGAGGCTCCTGAACACAAATTCTAACTGTCTGATTTTTCCTTGATAGGTCATTGATTATACTGTGCACAAAACCTGTGCGATATGAAGTGTTTTCCACACCATCCTTGGCCATATGAAAGAGCAACCCCCCTCACTCACCCTAGTCATTCGTTATTGTTCCCATCTCCCATCCCTTTGGAGTTGCCCATGAGTAGTTACATTACCATCATTTGAAGCTCTGTCAATGTATTAGGCTATTCATTTGAACCTCACCTGCTTTCACTCCAAGTTTGAACGTTGGAGAATTCAATGTTCCAACCAATTTCAAACTAAATGTGAAAAATGTTTCCCCAAAGATTTAAGATTTCGAATTCGAATTTTTAACTCACACCTTTCTCTCTTTGATGTAGCCAAAAGCTTGGCTACATCAAATCTGCTTAAGGGTGTCACAGCGTCACCAAACGTGAAATCATGTTCTGCGCTGGCCTCCATTCTGGGTCTGGGCGTGTGTCACATCACGATTGTATTTATAGGTTAGCGTGAATTATGCCACGCTAACCTCATGGGCTCCAAAGGCAAGCCTTTTTTTAGAAAGCCATCAAATATGTAATTGATTCTTAGTCTCTTTATCATACAAATCAAACGGCAAACATGAATATAAAATAGTGAACAAACTTGTACATGTCCAAATAATCAACATGACATCATCCACACCATATTTCTTTAGTGCGATGACTAGAGGAGTCCTATTCCAAGATACTGCATCCCTTTTCTTTTGTCTAATTTCTTGGTCAGTCATCCATTTCGCAAGTCTACCATTTCTTCCAAAAAGAAATTGTACACCAGGGAGTGCATACCTCGGCACATCAAGGCAAACCCACCGTACCAAATGTTGGTCAGTTCCCCTGCCGACGCATTGAACCACCAACGGCCGTTTGCTTGTATATCAGGAAATAGTTTTGGGTCAGTAAATTGTTTGCAGAATTTGTCGGACTCTGCATGTGAGCGATGGTGGAACGGATCGACGGGGATTACAGTCCCCAGGAACATCTGGCGATCGGTGTCACCAGTGTATATATGTTCTGTCAATCTACATGCATTATCATAAAATACTACCTCGGGCATTCCACGTGGGAAAGTCTCTTCTAGGAATGCCTATGCGTGGGAAGAATCAAATAAGCTCTCTCTCAGAATCTTGATATAGTCCGGAATTGCTCACCTTGACCGCACTAACAGATTCTGTGTTGTAAAACGTCTTACGACCTAAGACAATTCCACAGGTACCGGCGACAAGCTGATCGTTGTGGGTGTGTGCTTGGGATAACAAGTATTTACCCTGAGACTGCGACTCGCCTCCATCCCTGGCTGCTTCGTGGGCCCTTTGAGATTTGTCAGCCTGTTGTAGAGCTTCCAGGGCTTGAAATTGTGGTGGCATCCAAATGGACTGTCGGGTCCGCGCAAAGACTGGATCCCGGCCAATTGAGAATTGAGGTGAGTGAAAAGTTTGTTTTGACCTTGTCTTTGAATTTTGCCCAGGCCTCAATGTGTGCCTTCTCGTCGCAGGTTTGAGTATTACCAATGGCCGCTGTGGTGATCTATTTATGATATTAAGCAAAAAATTAATCATCTCTAATTTACAGTCACAAGTCACATGTAACACCAAAAAACCTTAACTTCACAACTCAATATCTTACTCATCACTCATCAGAAGTAGGTCTTATAGGTGTCAGAAATGATCAGTAACACGTGGGCTACAAGATGCACTTTAGTAATCAAAAATTGGAGCACATCTGAAAAAATTCGTAATCTCAAAAATTGGGTTTCAGCTAGTTTACAAGGAAAAAATCACCTGTAATCATCATAAGAAGTGCTGTACATTACATCATTGCGTCATTGATCACTTTTGGCTGTGAAAATTACATCATACATTAGTAACAAGATCATTACATTGCGTCATTACATGGTTTTTAGGGTTATTTAGGCGGATTTGACTGGTTTTTTAGGCTGTTGACTGTTGTAAAGATTGTTACATGGGGATATAAGTACTCCTTGATGATTTTAAGATTGTAGCGCCCTTTTCTGCATCTTATACCTTTGTTGTAGTGTTATAAATCATCATTTATTTACTATATTTGTACTAAGATCACTTAAATCCGCCCCTTCAAAGCAAGGAGAAATTTATTTACGTGTGTTAAAGACTACAAGTCTAATTGGGAATAATACTTACAACAGTATTGCTAGTAATAAACATAGTGTGTGACTTTTTGCGCTTAAAATCTGGGAATAATACTTAACAACAGTATTGCTTTATTTCTCTGGTGCCTTATCTATTTCTCTGTTATCACAAAGTGGTCAGCAAGTGCCCTTGTGCTGGTTTCTTTGAAGAAGGCAGTCTTTAGGCAACTTCTACTATATTACACGTAGTAGATTATCCCTTCTTAGGTGTTGTAAAGCTCTTGTTGAGCTTTAAATACTACATATTGGTGACTCCACTGGGGCTCTTTATTTTAAACAAGCAACATCCGTCAATTATATTTAATAATTTCCCTATATATTATCTTAAAACATCAACAATTTATTATTAAATCATCAATAATCAAATTAATAATAATACAACCCATCATTTCGAAAGAAAATTATATTCAACAAATATCAACAAGATTCAATTAATAAAATTCAATATCAATTATTAATATATCAAACAACATTAATCAATCTTTAAAAGAAAGAATATAACTTAAAAACCACGCATATATTCACTTTTTAAAATTATTACAACTTCAATTCATCAAGATTTCAAGTTTCTCTTTATTTTATAATATCATTTTATAATAATTAAAATCAATATCATGTCTTCAATCATTCAAATTCATGATCAAGAAGGAGGAGAAGAAGGGGATTCAGAATTAGAATTACCACCAACTTCTCATTATAAAAGAACTCCACGTAGTAGTAGAACTTATGCTTTAGAGAATCCTCTTAATTATTCAACATCTTTACCCTCTGGCTCTTTACCACCACCACCAGGACCTGCTTCAGGATCAACTGTACGTGGAAAACAACGTGAAGAATCAACTTGTGAGAATCCAATTCCACCTTCAGCATTTACTGGATTTAGAGAACAAGAAACATTATTACCCTCAGACCACGAGGAAGAACCTGATTGGCAACAACAACCTTATTTAAGAAGAGAAAGAGAAATGGCGGATATAATTAATTCAATAAGACTCAAGGAAGAAAATGGGAAGAAGGAAAGAGTTAAGGAAGTTATTAAGGTGGTTAAGAAGGGAAAAGGAAAGAAGATAAGTAGGAAGAAAGAGGTTATTAAGGAAGAAGAAAGTGATGGTGATTCAAGCGCCTCAAGCAGCTCAAGTGATGATTCAAGCTCAACTTCAGAGGAAAGTGAAGAGGAAGAAGGAAATGAAAGGAGTAGGAGTCATGTTAAACCACGAAAAATTGATAATTCTGACACAAGTGTTAGATTTGAAGTTGGAGGAAATGTTAAGAAATTTATTATCAATTATCATAGTCAAGCTGAAGCAAATGGCGCCTCAGAATTGGATATGGTCAGGCAAATTACCAGTTTTGTTGTTGGAGAAGAACTTAAGGAGGAAATACGTGATATGGAAGGTTGGGGAGTTGGTGAATGGAGTTGGAAGAAGGTCAAGGAGCAATTAATTGCCAGATATCAGACTACCACGGAGCAGCCAAGATATTCTATTGATCACTTAAGAACTTTATCTGAAAGAACAATGAGAAATGGAGGTGTTACGTGTAAAAGTGAATATCAAACATTCAGAATTAACTTTGATAAAATTCATCAATACTTGGCTAGACATGATTACGTGGATTCAAGTGATGAAGAAGTGGCAAGATATTTCTATGAGGCTTTTTCAGATGAACTTCAGAAGAAATTTAAGAAGAGGATGATTAAGAAGAAGATGATGAAGAAAGTATCAAGTGGAAGATATGAATTACCTAACTTAGAGAAATTAAAGAAGGTGGTTGATCATTATATTGAAGAAGAGGCGCTTTTGGTATTTGAAGATATTGGAGAAGAGAAATATACCATCAAGAATGAAATTGCTGGAGTTAAAAGTGAAGTTATTCAGAAGGATACTAGTAGTAAAGTTGCAAAGATTGGAGGAATGCAGGCTAAAGCAAATCAACAAATGGAAATATTATGTACTGATTTAAAGAATTTACAAATAAATCATGTCCAAAATCCTTTACAGTTACCTTTAAATAATTCTTATAACTTTCAGATTCCAATTTCAAATGCTTTACAGAATCAAATTCATCAACAAGTTGTTCCAAATCAAAGGAACAATGTTCAACATCCGCCAAATAATAACTCAAGGCCTCAACAATTTAATAATAACTTTCAACCCAACAGAGCGCCTAATAATTCAAATTTTAACAGGTTTAATAACAATAATAATAATAGACCTGTTAATAATCCTTCACCCAATAATAATAATCAAATTCCCGCCATTAATAATCAAAATTTTATGCCTCAACAGAATACTATGCCATTTTGTTCTTATTGTAACACGGAGGGACATAGTATGGGAAGGTGTAAATGGGTCACCTGTGTGTACTCAATTGCACCAAATGTATTGGATGATACAGACATGTGTATCATCCAATGGGGTCCGTAGGCAAGCAGGTAGAATCCTGTAGCTTGTAGCTGGAGCTAGGGTCACCTAGAAATCTCTCTAAGTCCCCATATCTACAAGGGGGGGGCCTTGCCCCCCTGCGCATCACTGCACAGCCATGACTACCATAACAAAACCTCTCACTACCTCA